TGACAAATACTTATTTTACCGAGGAATTTACCAATTAATTCATTAAAAATCCTACAATGTGATTTCCTGGATTCTTTCCCCCCATTCTGTCTCTCATAGTTGAATTGTACGTAGGATGAAAATTACAGGCCTCTCTCATCTTTTTAAGTGGGAGAACTTGCACAATTGGTGGCTGACTAAATACTTTTTTGCCCCACTGTACCTCAAAATGATGGAGTTCATGCAAACCATGCTCGTTTACTGCAACTACACTCTCCATAGCAGACATTATATATATTAGAATGTATGAGAAAGTCCATTCGATTAATAAAAGATGAACAAGACTTAACATTTCTCGTCATATCATAAGACTCTTAAATGTTTAAATTAAGTTGTGTGGATAAATGCACTCTTAAAACAAGAAAAAAATTATCTTTTAATGCTGGGAATGTATGCAAAGTCAAACCATTGTTACTGGTTAAATCTTGCCAAATATATAAGATAGATTTATTCAATAAGAACAGTTTGGATATATGTTCTTAAAATTAGATTACTTTTCATGAGCAAAATATTCATGACTATTATTTTTGATTATTAGTATGTCTTATTCGACAAAAAGGTAATACTTAATCCCCAGAAACACGTTTATTATGCTTTTCAAAAGTCATTATTTGCAGTTTATCAAACCATTATAGAAAACAGAGCTGGCCCAACATGCTGGGGGAATCAGATCTTTATTTACCAGTGTTTTTTTTTTTAAAGTTCCTGTGCTGCAAAGTTATTAAATTCCGTCCTCATTTCCTTAGTGCTAATGAGGGAAATCACACTTTCTATATACTTTAAACTACAAGCTCTCCTCTACAGAACGTTGACGTCACAGGAGCCAGGCTGCAGTATCTGAAGAGTCACAATGAGTTTAACAGACGTCCTAAACCAGGGGTAGAAGAGAGCGTACACCAGTGGATTCACACAGGAATTACAAAACAAAAGCCAGATCCCAAACGTTGAAAACTCAACGCCGGTTATCAAGTCTTGTCCCCCAAAAGAGGGGTAAAAATAAGGAGAGAAACAAATTAAAAACACCACTATGACAATGCCAAGAGTCCTGGCTGCTTTTCTTTCCGACTTCTTGGCAGTGACCTTGATCGAGCTCTGGATTGTGACGCCTTTAATATGAGAGCGCATGGCTCGAGCCTGAGTCAACGCCACCACAAACACCCTCATATAAAGGACTACGATGACAGAAATGGGGCCGACAAACGTCAAAATGACATCCACGGACCCTGTGATAAAGTTAATCATGACTATACACTCTCCATAGCAGGAACTGTATATATTCGGGTGTTTTAGAAAGTCAATGAGTATCACGCTGTTGTAGAAAACAGAGGTGGCCCAACACAGACACACACACAGTTTGACCCTCGTCTGAGTGACTTTAGTGGGGTAACTCAGGGGGTCGCAGATGGCCATGTGCCGGTCGATGGATATGAGCACCATGTTTCCCACCGAGGCAGAGGTGAGGATAAAGGAGGTGTAGGAGTACATTCGACAGATCAAGCTCCCGAGATCCCAGCAGCCCCTCAGGAGCATGATCTGAAGCGGCATCATGAAGAGGCCGACCAGGAGGTCTGAGACGGCCAGAGAGAGGAGGAGGACGTTGGTGGGGGTGTGCAGCTGCCTGGAGAGGAAGGATATCAACAGTGAACATTAACATATTACATTATTAATAAAGTATCTATCTATCTATAAATATATCTATCTATCTAATACACAAAATAAGTCCACGTGCATTCAGATTACCTTGTGTTCTGTCCTCCAGAGTCCTACATTTCATAGTATTTTATTTAATTGCTTTTTGTATTTTTACTGTCTTTTTGTTGAATGTTATGTTTATTTGTATTTCACGTTCATATCATGTTGCTTGTAATGTTCTTAACATTTCTATATTGTACACAAAACTTTGATTTGATTACATTTTAATAAAGCAATGTGACTGGACTCAGTAACATAATCAGAATGTA